CCCCAAAACCCCAAAACCCCAAAACCCCAAAACCCCAAAACCCCAAAACCCCTAATTACCCTTCGCAGATTGGATACGGTATTAATCATTAAGTTTGTAATATAATTCTGTTATTACAGACTTAGATTCAAGGCCAATTATACTAAGTAGATTTAGAATTTTTGCTTATTTTTCCGGATGTTAATTAAACTTTCCATTCTCCCCTGATTTCGAACAATTATCCCCGGTTTTAAAGACAGTCTTCTTATCAGCATGCTCTTGCTTATAATGTGTGCGGAGGTTATAGATGTTTGAATAGCTTCTGTAACAGTCTGAGCACTTGTGCATTACCTTCCCGAGTTTTTCATTCTTTTCATGTCTGCTCAAGTGCCTGTCGAGGTTATATTTCTGAGTGAACCCCTTTCCACATTTATTACAAACAAACGGCTTCTCCTTCGTGTGCACTCTGAAGTGGTACACCAGATTCCAGGTCTTTGAGAATATCTTGTTTCAGTTATCATATTTACAAACGAAAATTCTTGCATTCTTCATACCCTTTTTCGGATTTGGGAGAATCTCATATTTATGTCCCTTCAGGACTTCATAATTGACCATATCATGGGGAGATCTTTTGGGAGTAGATTCGCTGCTCGATTTCAAATTTTGACGAGGAAAGTGCTCATCATATTTCTTGTTCGTCTCGATACCGCCATCCTTATTTGCTTTGCCAGGACTTGGAGTCATTTCAGAAGCTTTTTTATTCATACAATTCAGTGTAGATCCAATTTTATGATTCATTCAGTTTGGTTCTTTAAAATTGTCTGAATGAAGCCAGCTATTCTTAGCCAAGTTCGGCATTCCTAATTTTCCAATCTGTCTAACACAAGGACATCAATGAGAGTTATAAAAATTAGGAGCAAACTCTGAATCAGTAGTTATAGCTGGACCCCTTGCAGTGGGCCAATTGAAAACTCTTCCATCCTCGACCAACTCGGATTTTACTATTCCGGTAGAAAAGTTAGAAGGTGATGAGATTGACCTTGGATTTTGATAAGAAATTAATGACTCCTTATGGATACTCGGTTGGTTTATGTCATATGCAAGAATTGTTCTATTTCCAGCACCCAGCATGTTGGATTTATAATCAGGTAATTCACTGGAGGGATCAGTACCTGTCACTCCTCACAGACAGTAGTCAGCAGAAAATTCATAGAGATTAGGAAGACTAGCCTGTCTTTTGAACACTGGTGGGCAAGGAACCAACTCCATGTTTGTATCCAACTCAAAATAGTTTGATTCGTCAATTCTGAATAGATAGGTATTCATCCTTCAGGTATCAAAGAAATTTGTTAATTATTAATAATTGCTGGGCTATTCTCAATAAATATTTTCCTGAAAGGGGTTTTGGGGTTTTGGGGTTTTGGGGTTTTGGGGTTTTGGGGTTTTGGGG